TTACACCCCAAAAATCAAGAGATTTAGCATTGAAATTGGGAAAACCCGCACGGTGGGGTGCAGCGGTTTTGGGTTCGAATCACCAAAATTTGAAGTTAATCCAATCGACTAGCACCACTAATAGACTCCCATCAACCCCAGGAACAAAGCCCAAGCAATGGTTGAGGCGTCAAAACTTGTTTGGAGTCGAATTAAGAACACCCATTTCAAGGGTTTCTGACGGATCGATGTAGATTTTAGGAGTTTCCTAGCCAAATTGGACTTGGCCACAGGTATAAAAATTGTTCCCCTTATTGAGATCTACTTGTTTGTAAAATTTGGTAATTTTTGGAAATAGTTGATTTTCCAGCAAGTCGGGGCGACTTGTGGGCCGAGACGTCCCCTGACCTTCCTAGGCTAAATTTTAATACCCTGATTCCATTTGTGAAGTCTGATTGATGAATTTCTATCATTTGAACCTAGTTCCATTAAGGTCCACCACTTGATTAGAATAGTAATCGACAATCCGATCGTTGGATCGTCACCAAACTTTAATACATTATAGTATGTAATATTTGAGGACCCTAGGAATTTATGGATCGGGAATCTGACATACCAGTCTTTCCGAATTAGATTTGTAAATTCATAAAATAAAACGTCGGCAGCCACATGGTTTTGGCAATTGGCGGAGATCTAACCGTTGAATCGTAATGAAACTTTAGTATGATTTTTTAGAAGCATAATGTGGATATTTGGAAGTTACGGATTGGAAGGTACGGATCTTCCAGATCGAGTTACGTAGGGTTGTAGACCCTACCATCGATCTTTGACCGATGGTTGACTTTTGGTCAATGGGTCTCGAATCATTCTAGAATGTTCTTAGGGATGTGTTTTATGTAAGTTACGCGTTCTATTGATAAGGATTCTGAGATGTGGTTTGATAATTGTTCTAGGTATCGATCGTTCGTGATGCCTTGATGTTTGTGCTTGGGAGTTGTAGCGCGGACTCCAGGTGAGTGGGTTTTCTTCCTTTTTATAATGTGTGTGTGTATATATATATATATATATATATATATATATATATATATATGTTTTACGGTTTCCAGAAACGTTTTATATGAACTATGCTTTGAATGCCATGTCGTGAATGAATTATATTTTTAGTATTTCATTACTATTATTATGCATTGTATGGAATGATGTTGCGGAGGCTCAGGTAAGCTTTAGGTGAGTTAGTATGTGAATGACTAGTTACATTACATTGTTATGCATAGATGCACTTAGAGTTCATTATCCTGCACCCCGGTGTTAGTGCTCCCGCCCGAGGCTAAGGCACAACCTTCACGTGATCGTTCACCTCCTACACCGCACGCTTACCTTGGATCCAAGTCTGCTGCCAGCCTGTCATACAGACCACAATAGATGGTTCCAACTCGTAGGTGACCCACGATTCATCGCACAACCTTCACGTGATCGTAGCACTTGAGTGTACTTATTTACAGCCAGCCTGTTGTACAGACCATATTAGGTAGTTCCGACTCGTGTGCAGGCATAGGTTGATAAGCTATAGGTTCAGCCGTATAGGTCATTTTAGGTGACTCCGGCTGGCATATTATTTTACCTTGATTTTCACACATGGCTTACATATTTCATCGTTGAAACATTATGACATGGCATACTTGGTTTTTACTGTCTTTGTGCATTGTTTTACGTATATACGTAGTATTATTTTCTGGAAACTATATGGTTTTACAGCGATGAGTTATAACGTTTTCAAAAGGTTTTTAGTAAAACTTTATTTTCAGGACCACTCACCCTTGTTTTTCGCCCCTTTAGGTTTTAACTGCTGAAAGTTCGTATGGACGAATCTCAGTATAGGTGGCTACCTCTAAGGTAGGATTCTTGGCGAATCTCAATATAGGTGGCTACCTCTAAGGGTATGATCCTTACCCACACTACTGTTCTTTACTTATGCTTTGACGTCGCGTGTGAAATGAGTTCATTCCCGTTCACAGTGCACTCGTCTTTAGGCACTTTTAGGTTTAAATTTATTCACATTTTCCACATCACTATACTTTATGGCTTTGTCACCTTCCAGGTGTCAGCCAACACAGCTCGATTCGGAGTCCTAGTGGACATTTCAAGTCGGGGTGTGTCAGTCATTATCGGGTCACCCGTTAAAAACGAGTCCTTAACGGGTTTACACTCAAGTAACATGTGGGTAACACGTTTTAACTGTTAAGAAAAAAATTATTTTGATGCTTTTAAAGTTAAACTACTAAAAAAAAAATTTACTATAAAATACAACAGCCATAGTGTATATATTGTATATTAAATATGTATTATTGTATTATTATTCTAGATAAGTTTTAAAAAAAAATTAAGTTTTATTTATTTATTTTTATTGTGAGATTTTCTTATTATCATTAATGTTATAAATTTTACTTGATCTGTTACCCAAAAATTTTTTACCTCTCTCATACACTCATACTCATAAATGTTTTATCTTCTTAAAAGTGAAATTAAAATATTGTAAAATACAAAAAAAAATTATCAAAATAATCCAAAATACCAAATACATTAAAAAAATCATAATAATTAATGTACAAGTGTAAAAAGGTGAAAGAATATATAGACGCTTGGGATTACATCCTCCACGCGTAGATGATCGTTACATCGTTGTTTAGATTACCCCTCATGAATAGTATTTTTTATTTGAGTGCAAAATTCATAATAATCATTGTATAAAAAAAATATACAATTACTCATAATGACAAACTTTACAACTTTTGTGAAGGGGTCAACTCCGAAATCTGGCACTATAATCCATAAATCTTAGATTTAGACTTAACCGTCAATTATCGTTTACACTTTATTCTTCTCATTGAATTTTGTTTTTCAAATCTTTTTAAACATGATCTTTTAGCAGATTTATAAAAATAAAATGAACGGTTCAAATCGTTGATATCATGTTCTAATATTTATGGTTAACTGAAATACGAGTCGATGTTATATAGTTTCTAAAGACTTTATAAACTCCAAACAATGTTTTCACTAACGGTAAACTCTGAATATAATATCAATGACCCAAACTGTTCATCTTTCTGCATCCTTTAAAAGATTATGTTTTCAAAAAAGAAAATCTGAAAAGAAGAATTTGGTGAGAAGAATGGAGTATAAATGTAAACGATAATCAACAGTTAAATTTTGATCTATATTTTATGTGATTATAGTGGCAAATTTCAAAGTTGAGCCTTTCACGGAAGTTGTAAAGCTTGTTAATTAGTACGAGCGTTTATATAATTTTTTTCAAGATTTTTCACACTTCTACGTTAATTAATATTTATATGATACTTAAAAGACAAATGTAGTTTTATGTTTGAATTAATATTTATGTGACAATGGGGTATGTGTATACTATTTAGTATTATAGTTTTCATTTCATTATTTATTGGTTTAAAATATATTTTATTTAACAGGTAAAAAGTCAAGTCATATTACTTATTAATATTAACAAGTCAATTTATGGTGGGGTCATATACCTGTTTATTTTAACGGGTCTTAACAAGTATGACATAAAAACGATATGAACACAAAAAACATGACACAAATGTCAGGTCTAGTTATTTCTCATCTTATAGTTATGGAGAAACTTGGGTGAATATGTGAGTTGGAATTCAAGGTCGGTCCGGTTAGGTTTACAAGTTAATATCCAAGGCTATTATAAGTCTATTCCTAAGCTTTAGTTTACCCAATTGCTATAGAGGATAAAATAGATACATTCGTCATGTACATTGTCAACAAAAAGTTCCCAATTGCTGCTTTTCCATCAGTTGTTATCACTAGAACATAACACAATACTGTTTTATATCTTGAAAAACTGTAGTTTTACTACCAAATAATACAGTTTATGTTACCACCCAAATTAGTCAATGAGTTACTTCAGGTATAAATGCAAAAATAATAGATGTAGAAGCTCGTGGGGTTTCTTTTTGTTATTAAGAATTTATTGTGTAGAAAGTAAGTTTACTTTGATTGCAGTAAAATAAATTAAATGAGTTTGGTTTGGGTAGTTGACTTTGGACTTATCTACCAAGTTGTATCTATTTGGGATATTGAAAGGGTAATGCTAGGGAAATTAAAATTTTAAACCAAATAATTATCACCAATAGGAAATAAGCACGTTAATCAACGAAGAAGTAATGATCAAATAATCAACAACCATATCATTTGGTTTGCAAATTTGGTCTCCCTAGCATTATCCATATGGGTAATGCTACGAAAACCAAAATTTTAAACCAAATTTGCAAACCAAATGATATGTCACAAATATAAAATAAGCATGTTAATCAACGTTGAAGTAATGATCCAATCATCAACAACCATATCATTTGGTTTAAAAATTTTGGTCTCCCTAGCATTATCCATATGGGTAATGCTACGGAAACAAAAATTTTAAACCAAATTTGCAAATCAAATGATGTGTCACTAATAGGAAATAAACACGTTAATCAACGCTAAAGTAATGATCCAAACATCAACAACCATATCATTTGGTTTGCAATTTTGGTTTAAAATTTTGGTTTCCTTGGCATTAATATTAACGAGTCAATTTCTAGTCAGGTCATATACTCGTTTATTTTAACGGGTCTTACACGACACGATCCATTAAAATATCAAGTATGACATGAAAACGATACGAACACACAAAATACGAGACGAATGTCAGTTCTAGTTATTTCTCATCTTATAGTTAAGGAGAAACTCGGGTGAATATGTGAGTTGGAATTCAAGGTTGGTTCAGTTAGGTTTACAAGTTAATATCCAAGGCTATTATAAGCCTATTCCTCAACTTCAGTTCAACCATTGGGGTTGTTTTTTGTCATGTTTCGGAAGCGAGGGATGGTAGCTTCATAAGGACTTTATATCATCACGTGTCGATCCTAGACGTATCTTGGGATCAGGGCGTGACACTCTACACCTCCTTTATGCTCAAAACGACATGGTTTTAAGTATAAGCACGCTTAGTAAGAGATGAATGAAGCCAACTTAGTAAGAGATGAATAAAAAACATACAATGACAGATTAGAGATGCACCATGTTTGCATCTATAATTCGGAGGAATGAAGCCAACTTAGTAAGAGATGAATAAAAACATAGACAATGCCAGATCTTCTCTCCTGCTGCTCATGGCACTGGAGTGACGAGATGCCCCGAGACCAAAATCTTCACTCATGTTCGCAGTAGAGCTCTGCACTAACCGCACCAACTGTAGCACCTCCTCCGACAATGGTGGCCAAAATTCTGGCTCCCGCTGATGGATGTAAAGGAATAAAAAATAGTCAAGAACAATCTTTTGTTATTTCCCAATGCTCAAAAAATAAGAGTAAAAGCAGAAGCAGTTTTTTTTTAAGAGAACTTATTGTTCATATTTAGTTCGAAAAATGTTATTTGTATCACATTTACTACCTACCTTTTTGATGTGACCCACCACTATTAGAGAAATGTTTAGGGTGGTAGTTATCCGTAAATGTGGTATAAATTGCAGTACTATATCCAAATTGCAGTACTAACCAGTGGGTTTAAGGCAACTAAGTCACTATATAGATCCCTTTCTCTATGCGAATGTGTTTCTGGGTGTGTGGTAACTATTACGTAGTAATTAATTGAACACAGAGGGCAAACGATATCAGCACACCGTGAGATTGACTTGGGAGGGTTGAGTCCACGCAGTGCAGGGTCCACCATTTGTGACAATGCATCGAGATCATGAAGCTGGGGAGTTGCCCATCGTACAAGGCACTGCTCCGTCGGTGGTTTTGAACTAAAGAGAGGAACCAAACCGGTTTAGAATTGCATGACATCGACAATAATAGCATGAATGGAAAGGAGAGTAAGACGCAAATCTAACATACCTGTCAACAGGCAATCTACCTGTCAATAGTTCCAACATGACTACTCCAAACCTGTAAACATCAGTCTTTCCTGTAAACGCTGTTGACTTTGTGCATTCTGGAGCGTTGTATCCCATCCCGAGGTTTTGGCTAGTACGCTGAAAAAAGAAGGAAAATTCACCATCAATACATGAAAATAATCGTATTCTCTATAGACAGCAAAGCCCGGATCTCTTTATATATGAAAGGTTGCATTTAGTTTTAAGAGTGACGGGAATTAACCTGGTGAAATGTTGCCAAGCCATAATTGCAAAGACGGGGATTGAGTTCGATGTCAAGAAAAATATTGGATGATTTGATGTTCTTGTGAACGGTGGATGGAAAGCAACCATCATGCAGGTACCTGGAAACAATTTGCAAAGAGTTTATTACAATTATTACAAGAAATCCTAGTAAACCAAAATAATTAATTACTAGATATATAAGTATATATATTCACTTACTCAACAGCCAGTGCCTAAGGCGATTCTGACTCTTGTGTTCCAAGTTAGAGGATTACTGTAGTCATCCGACATGTGTAAGAATTCGTGAAGCGAGCCATTGCTGAAGTACTCATAAATCAACATGTTGTGCCCATGTTCTGAACAATAGCCAACAAGCTCAGCGATGTTGGCATGACGAATCTTTATTAACGCAGATGCTAAGCTAGCCAAACAAGTCACTAGTTAGTTGTAACTGTATACAATTAGTTGTGGTAATTGTGTAATTAGTTGTAGGAGCTAAGGGCATTAGTGCAGCAAGTCTCTGGCTATATATCTCCTCTTGTAGTGTTGTAATTATTCAAGTAATGAAAATCTGTTTGTTACAGAGAGAGAGAGAGAGAGAGAGAGAGAGAGAGAGAGAGAGCTTTTGTTTCTTTATGGTATCTCGCCCAACTGCCTCACGACTCTCATCGACTAACCGACTCGATCCTCTTCCACTCAAGCCTTGAATTTTCGATCATTTTCTTGATCAATTCCTTTAGATTTCTTGATCAATTTCTGTTTTCGATTCGTAATTCTCCCTCTTTTCTCTCGAATCTTGCCTCTGTCAGTCATGGCATCCCCCTTTGAATCATCATCTCTGAACCCTAATTCCTCTGGAAGTTCTCCCTCTCCAAATTCGTATTTGTCTCTTACAATTCAGAACATTGGTAGTATGGTGCCCATCAAGCTCAAGCACACCAATTATCTTCCATTGCAAGCCCGGTTTGCTTCAATTCTTCGCCAATACAAGCTCCTTGGACTCATTGATGGTACTGAGCCATGTCCATGTTGGAAATGTGCCCTAAAATCAATCATATGATGATACTTTACGGACATTTCACATGTTAAATTAATCTAGTTTAATATAAAGGGCAAAAATTATTGTTTGAAGTCGTCTCATATAAATGTTATCTGCTTAAACGATAAGTCCAAAGAATATGTAATTGAGAGAATGTGATCTAAAGAAGTTAGATTCATGAGACCATTCTCTTTCATATACATATCATAAACGTTCCTAATCATAGGATTGCCAATTAGGCATTGACAGTCCGTTAATATCAGTATGTGTTATGTCTTCTCTTAGGGAGAGTGACTAGTTTCGAGTCATTGGTGTGACTGACACCAAGACAAGAATGTAGGTGCTTAATATAGAATCAGTCCACTAAACACGATCAACAAGAAGTTCTCATAATCATGTCACATGAGAACTCATGAGGGAGAATACTCTATGATTTGATTAAGAATCTATGGCCAGAGTATGAATGAGATTTAGGAAGTCGTTCCAAATCACATTCAAGGTAATCATATAAGTAAAAGAAACACATTAGATAGTAGACATGAATAAACTATCAAACCAAACAATGTGGTCAAGAGTATTGTATTATAGAAAGACCGTATTGCATTGTAATCCTAAACTGAATAGGTTATCCACCTCTTCTGATTAGCTTGGGTAACCATGACATACTGCTAGGTGTCACTCATGGTTTGTGGAAGCCCTAAACGTGTATAAACACTAACGGGAGAATTAAAAGTATGTTTCAATTCACAATCGATTCAAAGAGTTCTAATCGCCCATTGTCTCGCTAAAAGGAACCTAATAGATCGTACATCGTGTAAGGTAGAGATTGAAGAAACAAAGGAGATGAGTAAGAATAATTAAATGGTTTAATTATTTATGGCTAAGATTAATTAATATGTTAATTAATCAAACGAATATGTTCATTATAGACCTCGGGTTAGTTTTGGGCTGCAAGGCCCAATGGGATTTGAATGTCAAGCCCATTAACTCAAGTTGTATGACAACTTGAAAACACAAAGTGCTTGAAAGCCCAATGAACCCTTAAGGCCGGCCATATAGAGAAGGGTAGGGAACTTGCCTTAATTGCAAGTTTGCCACTCCATTGTGAGATGGTATAAAGGCAACTTTATAGCCATTTCATCATTAGGGTTTTCTTTGAGGAAATTGGAGAGAACACAAACTCTACCTTTCTCTCTAAGAGGCCGGCCACCCTAGAGGAACATAGCTAGCAATCTTCCTTCCTCTAGGTCACTTATCTCCTCATCAATGCTCTTCTTGGTGTGGAAAAATTAAAGGTTCTCTATTTTGGGAACTTGGAGAATCCTTTCAACAATCCTCCTCCAAGAAATCCATGGAGCTAAGAAGCAAGGAATGAAGGCTCTCTCTTTGGGTGATTAGCCTTTGCTTATGCAAAAAGGAATCAACAAAGGTATAAGATTTCTCAACTCACTTTGTTCTTGAGTTGAGTCTTGGTTCACCCTAACTACTAGGCTTTGAATTTCATGGGTAAAGTTTTCTTTTTTAGTGCATACAAGCATGATTCCACCTTTAATTGTTAATTGCATGTTGTAGATGTTGCTCAAAAGAACTTGTTTTCACAATTTTTTCCTTCAGTCCTGCTCCTCTTCTCCCTTATCGATCTATGAATCCAGCGTTTAAGCAGTGGTTTGAGGAATATCAAAATCTATTGATCTAGTTGAATTTGACGCTCTCTGAAGATCTAATTCCTTTCACGGTTGGAGTATCCACATCTCGAGAGTTATGGCAGAAACTTGAACAACGTTTTGGTGGAGTTTCTAATACTCATGTTCATCAGCTTCACTCTCGTCTTCAGTCTATTCAAAAAGGCTCTCAATCGATCTTAGAATATCTTCAACAAATTAAGGAAATTTCGGATTCTTTCACAACCGCTAGTGCACCTATCTATGATCAAGACCTAATTGTAGCAACACTTTATGGCCTACCTGATGAATTTGAGTCCTTCATTGACTCTATGATGCTTCGCTTATCTTCTACCTCCCTTGATGAATTGCATGGTCTGCTGTTTACTAAAGAACTGTCCATGGCTCGTCGCAAGCAAACTGTTTCTTCTTCTGTCACTAAGCTATTTCAGGCCTTTTTTGTTCAGTCTCAGATCTCATTGTTATTAACACCTTCTCCACAGGCTTTTTCTGTGTACAATAAACCATTCCACTCTTCCTTCCGTTATAATTCTAATCATGGGCCAAATCGCACTTTAAACAGAGGGAATCGAAATCACAATACCAAGCATGGTTTTTTCAATGGCAATCATCGTGGTACTCAAAATCGTCATCCTCAAGGTTCCAGGTCCAATTATCATGGTTCTTCATCATCATCTGGTACCAAGACTCCATGCCAACTCTATGGTTCTACTAGCCACAAAGCCATTGTCTGTTTTGACAGGATGAATCCCGAGATCTTTGGAAGAGTACCACCAGCCAAGCATGTTGCTTTGTGTGCTCACTACTCTTCAAAACCCTCTCCATCTTGGCTATTGGACTCTGGAGCTACATCCCATATTACGAATGACATTGCCAATCTCTATGTCTCCTCTCCCTACACAGGTGAAGACAAGGTCTACATAGAAGATGGTAAAGGTCTCTCTATCCAAAATATTGGTTCCTCTTCTTTACATACTCCTCATACTTCTTTTAAGTTGAGTAATGTACTGTATGTTCCGCATATGAAGCATAATTTACTGTTTGCTTATCAATTTCTTAAAGACAATAATTGCTCTTTGACTCTTGACCTTGATGGATCCACTGTAAAGGATCGTGCTTCAGGAAGATGTTTTTGCGAGGCCAAGTTATAGTTCGATTTTATCCACTGCAAGGTTCCAATCACACCATCCTTTCATCACCATCAGCTTTAATAAGTGTCAAAGCTCCTGTGAAGATTTGGCATCGAAGATTGGGTCATCCATCTTCCTCACTTTTTCGAAAAGTTCTCTCCAGCAATAACCTTGCTATCGAAGGCAAGACCACTGTTGACTTCTTTTGTTCAAATTGCGTTCTTGCTAAAAACCATAAGCTTCCATTTGGATTTGCAAACTCCACTACTACTCACAGCCTTCAATTGTTTCTCTATGATCTTTGGGGCCCTACATCTGTTACTTCACCTAATGGTTTTAAATACTATATGTTGTTAGTTGATGACTATAGTAGATATAGTTTGTTGTTTCCATTAAAGGCCAAGTCTGATGTCTATTCTACTTTTGTTGTATTCAAACATTATGTAGAGAACTTATTTGGAAATACAATCAGAATTGGCATTCAGATTCAGGGGGTGAATTCATTAGTACTGTGTTTCAGTCATTTATTCGTTCTCATGGCATTTTACATTAATTAAGATGTCCTCATACCCCTGAACAGAATGGTTGTGCAAAAAGAAAGCATAGACACCTTGTGGAAACTGCTAGAACTTTACTTGTTGCTTTTAATGTTCTTCATATCTATTGGGTTGAGGCATTCTCCACGGCTGTGTATCTCATTAACCGGTTGCCAATATTTGGGATATCTCGGTCTCTTTGGGAATTGCTTTTTCAAACCCCCACATTACTACAAATTAAAAGTATTTGGCTGCAATTGTTTCCCATGGCTCAAGCCTTATGTTCATTCAAAGTTGGATGCCAAAAGCAAAAGTTGTGTTTTTTTTAGGGTATAGTTTACAACACAAAGGTTATAGGTGTCTTGACCCATAAACTGGCAGAATTTATATTTCTAGACATGTGCAGTTTAATGAAACTACATATCATTTTCAATCTATTTCAAAGGCAACAGCTATGGTTCAATACTCTATTTTACCTTTTATGGATCTCCAGTTCCCTATTTCACTCTCGAGGTTATCTTCAGGGTCTCATTCTTCAAGTTCAAATATTGGAGAAGCACAGAATCATGAATCTTCAAGTTCTGTCCACAATTCTGATCCTATTTCCCTCACATAACCTCTCTCTTCAAGTGATCCATCTCCTCTAGTGCCTACGGGTAACATTCATCCAATGGTCACTCATTCCAAAGCTAGAATCTATAAGCCTAAAGTTTATGTCGCTGCTAAGCATCATCTTCCTTTAGATATTGATGATGTACCCACTACATATCTGCGAGCATCTAAACATGCTCATTGGAGGTCTGCTATGCAAGATGAATTTAATGCCTTGCAATCCACGGGTACTTGGACCTTAGTACTTCCATCTTCTTCTCAAAATGTTGTTAGCTGCAAGTGGGTTTTTAGAGTCAAGAAACAGCCTAATGGTACTGTTGAAAGATTTAAAGTTTGCCTAGCTGTAAAGGGATATTACCAGCAAGAAGGCATTGATTTCCAAGAGACTTTCAGTCCCGTGGCTAAACCAGTCACCATTTGAGTCCTTCTCGCACTTGCAGTGCAATTTAATTGGTTTTTAAATCAATTAGACATCAGTAATGCATTTCTTTATGGCGATTTAAAGGAAAATGTGTATATGCAGCAACCCCACCCCCCTCTCCCGGGCTTCATTGATCTCAGCAAGCCACATTATGTATGCAAAATTGAGGAAATCCTTATATGGTCTTAAACAGGCACCCCGAGCTTGGTTTGATAAGCTTTTTCAGCTTTTCTTCGATTTAGATTTGTGCAATCCTCTTCAGATGCCTCATTATTTGTTCTCAAAGGTCCTTCTCCAGTCATTGTTCTTGTCTATGTTGATAACATCTTGGTAACTGGCCCAAGTCCCTCTTTATGCAATATGTTCATTCAAAGGTTGAATAGTCTTTTTCCAATCAAAGATCTAAGACCATTGCACTACTTTTTTAGATTAGAAGTTCACCGGTCCTCTGAAGGTATATTTCTTCATCAAACTAAGTACCTACTGGATCTTCTTAGGAAAACCAATACGGATGGTGCTAAGCCTTGCTATACTCCTCTTAGTTCTACCAAACTTGATCACACCGATCATCTTCTCTCCAATCCAACCAAGTATAGGTCTATTGGTGGTGGCTTGCATTATTTAACATGGACACGTCCTGATCTCTCATTTGCAGTCAATCAAATTTGCTAGTTCATGCATGCTTCTCGAGAACAACATATGCAGGCTGCAAAACGAGTTCTTTGATATCTTAAAGGCACTGTCTCTGAAGGAATTTGGTTCAAAAAGGGTCCTATTAACCTCACTACCTTCTCAGATGCTGACTGGGCAGGATGTACATTTGATAGACGTTCCACTAGTGGTTATTGTGTCTTTCTGGGTTCCAATCTCATTAATTAGAGTGCCAAGAAACAATCCACAGTTGTCCGATCATCCACTGAAGTTGAATACCGTTCTCTAGCCTACACTATTGCATAACTTACATGGATTTGCAAAATTTTCTGAGATATTGGTTTTTCTCTCTCTCATGTTCCTAATCTCTGGTGTGACAACATTTCAGCTATCTCTCTAGCTTCCAATACGGTGTTCCATGCCAGAACTAAACACATCGAAATCAACTACCACTACATTCGAGAATTTTTATTGGCTAAGCTCATCAAAGTCCAATTTGTTTGTAGTCAAAATCAATTGGCTGACATTCATACCAAGTCTTTGTCCAAAAGTCAATTTAGCTATCTCAAATCCAAGCTTCCACTTGGTTCAATGTTTAATCCTAAGCTCAGCTTTAGGGGGTGTATTAACATAGATGTTAAGCTAGCCAAACAAGTCACTAGTTAGTTGTAACTGTAAACAATTAGTTGTGGTAATTATGTAATTAGTTGTAAGAGCTAAGGGCATTAGTGCAGCAAGTCTCTGGCTATATATATCCTCTTGTATTGTTGTAATTATTCAAGTAATGAAAATTTGTTTGTTACAAAAAGAGAGAGAGAGAGAGAGAGAGAGAGAGAGAGAGAGAGAGAGAGAGAGAGAGAGAGAAAGAAAGAAAGAAAGAGATAGAGCTTCTGTTTCTTTAATCTTGGAGATGTTTACGACAATGTTTGAAAATTCTTGCAGCGGTGAGCCTTGAAAAAGTGAGGAACCAATCTTTTTAACTGCCAAAACCTAACACGCATATATGGAATAAAATTTTTAGAAACAAAAATTTATAACACGAACTTATAAAGGTTAGCTAGAGAAATAACAATGATATAGTGATAGTAAAACATTACCTTCCCATCACTATATTTAGCCTTATAGACACATCCAATGGTGCCCTACCCAAGAAGGTGAGCTGGTTTAAAGTTAGCAGTACCAACCTGTGTTAAACATGATATGTTTATGTACCATTAAAACACCATAGAACTAACCTTGAGAAGTCATCTTCCTAGCACGGCAAGAACTGCAATTGCAACAAGCTTTCCTCAAACACCCTAGACTTTGAAGGTTGGTCTTTTGCACACTCACCACCACTGTATTACTTGAACCTATAGGGAGTTCTGCAAATATGTGTATAGGTGGTGTATGCAGGGACCATCCCTTGGTATTTATACTACTTCAACCCTAGCATACATTCCCATAATCATATGATGGGATTCCTTATTGTACAAGGATATAATATACCAAATCTCAATCCAAATAGATAGTATCAAGAGCCCTTATTCTCCAATTATAACCTGGTTATATACCTTTACTTGGAGTCCAAGTTATAGCTTATGACTAAACCCTAATCACATTTACATTCCACATCAATCCTTATTAACTATATTGACCTATTAGCCGCTGGATTAGAGTCTAACGTCCAACATTTTCCCACTAGGTCAATTAGTTAATTCAAGAAAGAACTTTGTTGATGCACAAAATCCGGAGGATCTTGGACCAACGTAAATCCGACCGTGAATCACACAAACGCACAAGAACATAAAGATGTATCATGGTTCACCCTAATGTTTGGGCTACGTCCACACTGATATTGATTATGTATGTATGTATGGATTACAATACATCGGCAAGGGAGCTCTCTGTGGATGCAACCCTTGCCATTTTACTCTCTGTTTGGCTGAGAGGGTACTGCCCTCTATTGTTGTGAGGATTGAGTGTGAGACCATTTCCTCTTAAGGTGAGGCTCTGAAACTTTCTGGATCTCTTAGTGAAGGTGAGTCCTCCTTCATGAGGGTGAGGGAGAGTCCCTTTTATAAAATAAGAGCTCCATCCCCTTTTACATTTGTCATGGGCTTAAGGATGAGGCCCAAAGACGAGGCCTAATTTATGGTACCAACATGAGTCCCCCAAGTCTTAAGTCAAGAGAGTCTTTTGGCTGGAGACTTCAAATCCAATCCATGTACGGGCCGAAGTGGCTAGATATCTTGAACCAGTACTCAACACAAGGCAATGCTCAACATAAAGCAACACTCAGCTAGAGGTATCACACGTTATGAGACTGCTCTGCTGGAGGCGATACTCATTGCGAGGCTTCTCGGCTAGAGGCTATGCTCGCGGCGAGGTGGTTGCTCGGCTGGAGGCGATGCTCGTTATGAGGCTGTTCGGCTAGAAGCTATGCTCGCTGCGAGGTAGGTCGGCTCGTGGTATTGCTCATTGCAAGTATCTACTTTAATTGACATGCACTCAATATAAGTTAATTCTTAACATGACTCAGGTCCGCTTGTCGGGTTCGCATATTGGGTTCTTTTAATCAGCAACAATGTTGATCAGTGGACCTAGTTGCTCAATAATTCCTGACAATAAATGACAGTATAAGTATGATCGTATAATGAATAAATCAAATTGACAAAGTTTGCCAAGGCAAAATATTGTACTATGTGCCTTCTATAAATAAATAATTTATTCAGTCGTGGGGTAAATCACATGTTGTATAAGTGACATGGTTTAATGGCATTCACAATACTCTAGGCCATGAATAAATATTGTATATATGTCACTAGGCAATGAATAATATATATATGTGTGTGTGTGTGTGTGTGTGTGTGTGTGTGTGTGTGTGTGTGTGTGTGTGTGTGTGTGTGTGTGTGTGTGTGTGTGTGTATGTTGATATCCAATTTGGTCACATATAATAATTTAACTAATGGGTTGTAAAGGAATATAAAGATGATCTTATCTTCCTCGTGCAGTGTACACAGCAGTAGTCATGTAGCTTTAATATAATGACAATGGGGATGCACTATATATACACAAATCATAAAAACAGATAACATATTGCTAATTGTAAAGCAAAAGCTGTAAAGCAAATGCATGATGTGATCTCCTGTTAAAGAATTTACACACATATGTAAAGCAAAATGATCTTATCAAAATAATGATAAATGAATAAAATAATAAAGAAAAAAGAATCTTATCTTACTGTTCCCGTGGCTTTTTCAGAAAATGGAGGGGGGGACATGCACTCCCCTTCATGATGAAAGTTTTATCTTTTTCAAAATGTTGATGGGCATCTTCTGACGGTTGCAGGTTGTGAAAATAAAATTCTTATCTTCTCTGTTTGTCCATCATTGTTCTAGCAGTGGAACTGTGACCAGAGACTTCATGCAAATCCGAAATCCGAAACGTACCTTCCCAGAGATCCTTCTTTTCCAGCTCCTCCCCATCCTTGTCCCTCACCGAGTTTGGCATCACCCTTGTAGATTCCAAAAGTAGCTTCTGAGTTGGCCTTGGCCCTTGTGAGGAGAGCAACATGTGCCTTTGGGATGTTTTCCTCTTTCCCTGCCCATGCCTTCAGTGTGCTATGCTGAAGAGCACGTCTAAAGGAGAAGGATAGAAACCACGGCTTATTTCCTTTGAGTTGGTTCATTGCGTTAAGGTTGAGGGTAGCCTCATCCTTACTCTGTCCACCGGATAAGAACACAACAGCAGAGACAGCTACATAGGTAGTGCGCAACAAGGCACGAACTGTGTACTCAGCAATCACTTCTGGTGAAGCCTTCTTGGCATCAAATCTTAGGGTAACCATGTTGGGTTTCAAGAGAGTCCCTTCAAGCAGGACATAGTGGTCGCTAAATGCCTTATAGCATGCGATAAGAACACATTCGGTCATATCTGCACACTTATTGATGGAATGTGGTCCATTAACCAGGATCTCTGGCTCAACAATGGGGACTAGGCCATTCTCCTGGCAGATGATGGCATAATGAGCTAACCCGTTGGCATTCTCTTGGATGGACAGCTGAGATGGTTCAATAGGGCTAATCTTAAGCACAGCACGCCACTTTACGAACCGTGCACCAACTTCATAGTACTTCTGGCAACACTGGGCAAGGCCATCAAGACCCTGGGTTATGGTCTCACCATTGGTTCCGGCGAGCTCAACGGTACCCTGGTCGACCTTAATTCTAGGGAGAACACCTCTTTCCTTCAAGACATCAACGAATGGCTTGCCTGAAGTGGTCTTCTGGTAGAGGGTTTCCTCAAAGAGGATAACTCCATTAAGGTATTGGAGCACATCAGGGGCAGTGAAAAGGAGTTCGCGAAGAGCACGTCTATTTGATTGAACATTCTCAACATTGATGCTAGCAAAACGTTTGCCGATTATGCCATTTGACTCATCAGCAGCAAGAATACCCTTTCCAGGGGTCCCGATGTAGGCAGCATTGGCGATAAGCTCATCAGCGTATTTGCCTCTGTAAGCAGACATGTTTGATTGATGCTGAAGATTGAGAGAGGAAGAAGAAAACGAATTGGTTGTTTTCTAAGAGATCGAGAGAGAGGAAGAGATGATGGTTTAAGGTCTGCGAAGGTTTTCTGGAAAAGCCCCAAGATTGAGGTTTTAGGTTTCTGGGTTGTGCAGATTCACGGTGGTGAGATGAAAAAATGAAAGAGAACCGATATAGTTTTTCGTGTCGATTCCCACAGATGACACCAAATGTTAATGCACAAAATCCTGAGGATCTTGGACCAACGTAAATCCGACAGTGAATCACACAAACGCACAAGAACACAAAGATGTATCGTGGTTCACCCTAATGTTTGGGCTACGTCCACATTGATGCTGATTGTGTATGTATGTATGGATTACAATAGATCGGCAAGGGAGCTCTCTGTGGATACAGCCCTTGCCATTTTACTCTCTGTTTGGCTGAGAGGGTACTGCCCTCTATTGTTGTGAGGATTGAGTGTGAAACCGTTTCCTCTGAAGGTATGGCTCTGAGACTCTCTGGAACTCTTAGTGAAGGTGAGTCCTCCTTTATGAGGGTGAGGGAGAGTCCCTTTTATAGAATAAGGGCTCCCTCCCCTTTTACATTTGTCATGAGCTTAGGGATGAGACCCAAAGACGAGGCCCAGTATATGGTACCAACAAACTTTAATGAATCTGTAAGCATGATTCTTTATTGGCCAATGGATTTAGTTAAGCAAATAAGCTTCTTGCAAATTTCAATCTATAGTTTATGTGATTATAGTGGCAAATTTCAAATTTGAGCCATTCACGAAAGTTGTAAAGCTTGTTAATTAGTACGAGCGTTTATATAATTTATTTCACTATTTTTCTGTTTTTATGTGATACTTGAAAGACAAATGTGTTTTTATGTTGAAGTAATATTTATGTGACAATGTGGTATGTGTATACTATTTAGTATAATATTTTTCATTTGATTATTTATTGGCTTAAAATATATTTTCTTTAACAGGTAACGGGCCAAGTCATATTACCTATTAATATTAACTAGTCAATTTCTGGTCGGGTCATATATCCATTTATTTTAACGGGTCTTACACGATACGACCTGTTAAAATATCGAGTATGACACGAAAGCAATATGAACACAGAAAACACGACACGAATGTCAGATCTAGTTATTTCTCATCTTATAGTTAAGGAGAAACTCGAGTGAATATGTGAGTTGGAATTCAAGGTCGGTCCAGTTAGGTTTACAAGTTAATATCCAAGGCTATTATAAGCCTATTCCTCATCTTTAGTTTACCCAATTGCTATACAGAAAGGTGCCAAAGATAAAAATAGATACATTCGTCATGTCCATTGCCACAAAAAGTTCCCATTTTCGGTTTTTCCATCAGCTGTTATGATTAGTACATTGGACAATACTGTTTTATATCTTGAAAAAACTGTAGTTTTACTACCAAATAATACGGCTTATGTTACCACCCAAATCAGTCAATGAGTTAATTCATGGTGTAAATGCTAAAATAATAGATGTAGAAGCTCGTGGGGTTTCTTTTATTACTAAGAAGTTAATGTGTAGAAAATAAGTTTACTTTGATTGCAATAAAATAAATTAAATGAGTTTGGCTTCAGGGAGTTGACTTTGGATTTAACTACCAAGTTATATCTATTTGGGATATTGAAAGGGTAATACTAAGAAAACCAAAATTTTAAATTAAATCTGCAAACTAAATGATGTGTTACTAATAAGAAATAAGCACTTTAATCAATGCTGAAGTAATGATCTAATCATCAACAACCATATTATTTGGTTTAAAAATTTGGTCTTCCTAGCATTATCCAATTGGATAATGCTAGGGAAACCAAAATTTTTAAACCAAATGATGTGTCACTAATAGAAAATAAGCACGTTAATCAACATTGAAGTAATGATCCAAACATCAATAACCATATAATTTGGTTTGCAAATGTGGTTTAAAAAATTTGGTCTACCTAGTATTATCCATATGGGTAGTGCTAGGGAAACTAAAATTTTAAACCAAATTTGCAAACCAATATGTGTCACTAATAGGAAATAAATACACTAATCAACGATAAAGTAATGATCCAACAACCATATCATTTGGTTTGCAAATTTGGTTTAAAAAAATTAGCCTCCCTAGCATTATCCATATGGGTAATGTTAGGAAAACCAAAATTTTAAACCAAATTTGCAAACAAAATGATGTGTCACTAATAGAAAATAAGCGCGTTAACTAACGCTGAAATCACTCCCCAAAACAGTGTCCCCACCGTTTCACTTAAGGAAAAAAAAAACAATATAATTCAACCAATTTTACAGGAATTAATAAATTGGTGTTGGGGTAATTATCAAGAGATTGAAATCTAACACCTCTACTTATAAGTAAAAAGAAATATTAATAAATACTATTAGACCATAATATTAAGTAGCAATATTCAAACAACTTGAAAGATTTTAATAATCTATTTCTATTTGGTTGATTATATTTGTTTACCAAGTCGAACAAAACCAAGGAAGAAAATATCGGAAATATCGGTAGTCCGAAAACACGGAAATATCGATGGAAATATCGGGATAATATCGATATCGATAAAAATTACATGGAAACCACGGAAATTGTAAGAAAAACTTGGAAATTTTTAATGAAACTTTGTAGGATGTTTATTTAGTCAATTATCTATTAGTTTATCACAAAAAATTGGAAGGAAATGCATTGCATGATGGATTTAACTGATTTAAGTTGATTATATAGCGAGCTGGCAAACATTGTGAGTGTAGAAAATATGTAGTAATTAATGAAAGAAGTTTAAACACACTATAATCATTTATATATAATTAATTAGTACAATATTTGGAGGTTTTATTTAGGATATTAAAAAAAAAAGGGAAGTGAATAAAATGATGAAGAATAATGTGCCGAATTTGACACTTTAAATTTCTTACACATAAGAATAAGACTAAACTTTAATTTGGATGCCGATTATGTTTTTTCAAGTTTATATAAAGTAAAAGAATTGAATTTTGGAAGCCAGGAGTGTGTCAATTGAATTTTGGCCGGCGTGCAAGGTATCAATCTCTTCGTCTTGTCGAGTAGTACAACTTTCCTTTTTGTTTCACTCAATTTCGTTGAGTATTGAAAAAGTTATACTCATTTGAATCTTACCCAGTTTCCGGCGACCTCAGTGGCTTTCGAGGCAAGTTCCGGCCAAACCACAACGAGTCGGATGTCGTGTGAGGTACCATTCTCTTCGTCTCTTCGAGGGCTACAACTTTCCTTTTTGTTTCACTCAATTTCGTTGCGTATTTAAAAAGTTATACTCATTTGAATCTTACCCAATTTCCGGCGACCTCAGTGGCTTTCGAGGAAATTTCCGGCCAAACCACGGCGAGTTGGCCGGCGTGCAAGGCATCAATCTCTTCTTCTCATCGAGTAGTACAACTTTCTTTTTTGTTTCACTCAATTTCGTTGAGTATTAAAAAAGTTACACTCATTTGAATCTTACTCAGTTTCCGGCGATCTCAGTGACTATCGAGGCATTTTCCGGCAAAAAACGATGATTCAGATGTCGTGTGAGGTACCATTCTCTTCGTCTCTTCGAGGGCTACAACTTTCGTTTTTGTCTTGCTTGATTTCGTTGAGGTTTGACAAAGTTATGGCCGTTTAAAGTGGGTGTAAATTTTCGGCCGAAATTCTGATTTTCTCCTATTGGGAGAGTCCCACATCGCCCATGCTTGCTCACTGCCCTCGCAATTTGTCCTATAAAAGCCACATTGCCCTGCGTAGTAAGCCATATCTTGATCGCCCTTTGGGTTATGATCAAGTGAAGTATGTGTTGAGTTTTCTCAACATATTTAAGTATTTTTTAGTATTATGTGGCGATATTATCGATAATTTCGAAAATATCGCGATATTATCGATATTATCGATAATATCTCGATATTTTGACGAAAATCATTTGGATAGTTAAAAAAATATCGGATCTTCAAAAAAACGATAATATCGGCGATATTTTTTTCTTCCATGAACAAAACTAACAGGAAAACTTACCAGAAGAAATTGAGAGCACTCTCGCCCTATCGCTATAAGACGACTATCAGAACGATCGAGTCAAACCTATTCATTCGACCAAAGCCAATTGACTCGAGCACTTTCCAACTTTGGTGGACACCCACAAGGGGTATGATGTGTCGCATACTTCGTGCATCAAATGGTCATCTATTGGCAAAGATGACATACGTGATTCAGTCTCCCACACCATGTGAAGCTTGCTAGCTAGTTAAAACCGGACAGAAGTCGTCCTATGAAAACAGCTATTAAGAGCTCTCCACTTTCTTCCATGGTTTCATAATGGAATTTGATCAGAGACAGCTCCCCTTGGATCAATCCAAGGGCTTTGGCATCCTTCATCTGCTCCTGAGCAAGAGTGCTTGAGTACTCTTTCTCCTTCTTTGCATCAGTGGCTCTTTCAGCCAACTCCTTATTCGATTCAGGGACTTCAAACCCTTTCTCAATGAGATCCCAAAGTCCATGAGACTTGAGAATGGTTTTCATTCTGATTCTCCAGAATTCGTAGTTTCTGCCATTGAAAAATAGTGTACTAAGTTTAGAACTAGTTGATCCAGCCATATTAGACTCGGATCTGACAGATTTCAGTGTTTACAAAGCTCAGTATTGCAGAGAAGAAGCTGGTTGTGAGCTTGATTCTGCAAGCACAATTCACTCCCAGATGAAAGTTTAATCGAACTTAGGCTCTAAAGCCATGTTAGATTCTGTAATTTAGGTGGTTTATGATGGTTTTATTGCAATAACATTCAGCAAGAAATTGAAATGAAGAAAGGTGCAGAGAACAATGCAGAAGGGGAGAGGTAGAAGATGATGGTGCTGTTACACAAATTCCTTACTTCTCGATGAAGCATTACAAGTATGTAAGGTGTGAGAGGGCATAGGCGTATAGCCGTTGGACCTCCACTACCGAACAAACAGAACGGATCATGCGTAATGCACATGGATCACTGGAGTATCTCATCCAATATAACAGATGGCACCCATTACGCTTATGAGCTTGTTAT